CCTCTATGAGATGGATTGATTCAGTGACTGGGATAATTGGGATGGGAGTGTCAGAGACAGTGCGATTGGCACAGGAAAGGGCAGAGTTTAGGGCTGTTGTACATAGGGTCGCTATGAGTCGCAGGTGACTCGATGGCACATAACAACAACAACAACAACGACAATATGGTTTTAGAGTCCATAATATCAAATACCTTCTTTAGCTTTAATTTGAACTTGGATATGACTAGTTGATGATCTGTTCCACAATCAGCACCTGGCCTAGTCTTCATAGTTGATATTGAACTTCTCCAACGATTTCTTCCACCGATGTAATCGATCTGATTCCCGTGCATACTTTCAGGTGAAATCCATGTTTACAGCCTGCTTTTACATTTCTTATAAAAGGTATTTGCGATGAATAAATCATTGTGCAGAATACTATCATTCTATCCCCAGCTTTATTTCTGTCACCAAGTCTGTTTTTTGACTACTGATCCTTCTTTCTGGTTCCCAACTTTCTCATTCCAGTCACGCATTAATATTAATGCATCTTGGTTACATGTTTGATCGATTTCTGACTGCAACAGCTGGTAGGAAGAATCTATTTCCTTCTCTTTGGCTCTGGTTGTTTGGTGCATAAATTTGAATGATAATAGTATTAACAGGTCTTCTTTGCATGGCTGTGGATATTATCCTGTCACTCACAATGTTGGGATCTCGCCAGAGTACTGAAAAATAATGTCAGTCTAGAGACTAAGAAGTGCCTAATCCAGGACTTGATCTTCACAGTTACTTTCTATGCATCAGAGAGCTGGACAATAATTAAGGATGACAAAAGAATTGATGCCTTAAAATTGTGGTGCTGGAGAAGAGTCTTGAACAAATCTGTCTGCCTTTGAGAGGGTGAAACCAAGTTTGTCCTTGGAGGCTACGATTTTGAAGCTCTGTCTCACATACTTTGGGCATGTGACAAGGATGGACCAGTCCTTGGAGAAGGACATCATGCTCAGAAGGGTGGATGGACAGCTCAGGAGAGGAAGACCCTGGATGAGATGAAATGGATTGATCCAATAACTAGGGAAATGGG